TCGTGGAGGATAACTATGTGAAATCGCTCCCAACAAACTTTCAGAAAATCCTGTACGTCCAATTGAAAAGGCTCATCAAATCGGAAAAGATCGCCAAGGTCTAAAACTCGTACAAGATTCCGAAAATCTAAATTGGTTCAGAAAAAGTTTCGCTTCGACAAAAAAAATGAAATCAAAGGACACCCGAATATCACCCAGAATAAAACGACATGAAAAGGCCGATTCCACATCCGATTAGGGCCATTTTCAGACGGACCCCAACGATAACAATAAAAAAATTTCACGCAAACACCTAAAAAATAGGGTTGTGCATGTATTGTGTATGTTGTGTATATGTTATGCGTATGTACTATGTATGTTGTGTACTGTGTATGTGGTGTACTGTGTATGTTGTGTATATGTTATGTATATGTTCTGTTTATGTTATTTTTATGTTTATGTTATGTATATGTTATGTTTCTGTTATCTTGGTATAATATCAACAATGATTGATTTTGTGTATATGTTTATGTTATGTATATGTTATGTTTCTGTTTATCTTGGTATAATATCAACAGACGGATTTTGTGTTTATGTTTATGTTATGTATATATTTATCTTGGTATAATATCAACAGACTGATTTTGTGTATATGTTTATGTTATGTATATGTTCTGTATTTATCTTGGTATAATATTAACGACACACAAAAATATTATTCTCTATGTATATGAATATATAACAAAAGAAATATAAATTTGATCGCTTTGCTGCTCGAACATTTGTGTTTTCTATTTTGATAGTAAAAAAAAAATAATATTTTAGCTCATCTGTTTAATTCCTCAAGCAAAAACTGATATTATGAAACTCATTTTTCCATCCCATGTATAGATTTTTTCTTTAATTATATATATAAAATATCAGTTATATTTTGATTGGAGAGAGAGAGTTTAATTTGGGATTGGATATAGTATTCGCATAATCATAATTAACTAGTGCAACGCACATGTATTACACGGGTGCTTGCTAATTTTTTTCTTAAAAATCTAAAATTAATGAAAAAAAAGTAGTTGAAAATTTAAATACCTTTTATAAAAATATATATTATTATATATTTAGTATGACACTTTTTATTTGTGCGACTTACATGTGTTCTATTATAATAATTTTTTTAACTTACAACATATAACTATATTAAACATAAATATATCAATTGAGAACTAATTTTATTTTTCTAATAAATTTTAATAAATATTATTATTTTTTATTATTATAAAGATAAATATAATTTATTTGTTTCATATATACAATATGGATGTCAAATCGAAGATCATCAAAAGATGATTAATTTTATATATTATATATATAACTGATAAGAAATACAAAAATTATCAACTTTTAAAATACATTTACAATTCAATAGCTAATTGAAGGAAGCAAATCAAAAGTCAGGGATATATTAGTCACTTAGTGCCTCACTACTTAAAATTACAAAGAATTAAAAGGTTATATTAATACAAGTGATATTAAAATACCTAAGTTAGCTAAATAATATTTATAGAATGTCCGAACCTAAATTTCTAATCATTAATATATCAATATTATTTGTCCAAACCTAATTACGAAGCATGATTCTTCGACAAGTAGGATTCCGAAGTACCAGAAGCAGCCACGTAGCTAATTGAAGGGAGCAAATCAAAAGTCAGGGATATATTAGTCACTTAGTGTCTCACTACTTAAAATTACAAAGAATTAAAAGGTTATATTAGTACAAGTGATATTAAAATATCTAAGTTAGCTAAATAATATTTATAGAATGTGTGAACCTAAATTTCTAATCATTAATATATCAATATTATTTGTCCAAACCTAATTACGAAGCATGATTCTTCGACAAGTAGGATTCCGAAGTACCAGAAGCAGCCACGTAGGCTCAACGCATTTAATAATTATATATAGGGATCCTCTTTAATATCGTATTCCAACTAATAATTTTGAACATTCGTATGTTTACAAAAACTTATGGAAGGTTACGTGTATGTGTAAATTAGCCATTCTTATACGCTGCACATAGGTCCACAATTTTATTCTTCATTTTATTTCATCTATTAATATATAATAAAGATTAACATAATTCAATTTTAGAAACTCTTTCCCTCTAATTTCATTAATTATTGCCAAAAAATAGTAAATTAATAAAATTGCTATTTATTAGTAACAAATTCCCGCCAATTTCATTAATTACCTTCTATAGAAATAGCACACAAGTGAATCAATAATTGCTGGAGATAATCTATCCGTTAGAAAAGAAAATTTAATTACTGGAGATAATCTATCCGTTAAAATAGGAAATGAATTTGTAATTTATCTTGTCAAATTAAGTTTTTGAGTTAATCTTTCTATACCACGTTTGTGCAGACAGAATGCGTAGAAATACAACCTCAAATGATTTAAATGTGATCTTTTTTTATCCAATAATACTTCATCAACACAAACATTAACCAGTAAAATAATATTTGGCCACATATTATTACCTAGGTATAATCAACCTCAAATGAATTAAATCATACAGTACCTAAGTTCACTTTAATGTATAAATCATTAGAATAATTAAAAATAAACATTTTATAGATAACAGATATGATTTTATTTTTATTTTTTTTTCTAATTACGATGTAAAAATACTTTATAATAAAAGTAACAGGCTTTATAATCTATATCTATTTTATTATTAGTATTCCTTTAGTTTAAATCTATTTGTTTATAAATATATATATAATATTATATTATACTCATATAGGCATTTTCTATTAATAATTATCATTTAAACAACAAATGATCATTTATTCTACTACGTGCCAATATTTTGTTTTGTTTAATATTGTAAAATATTAAATTCAACACTACGTGCCAATATTTTGTTTTGTTTAATATTGTAAAATATTAAATTCAACACGTTTTGAATGGAAACAAATGTGACGTAAATTGAGAGTAAGAATCAATAAGATAAATACAAAAATGCACTAATCATGGTATAAAAAAAAGAGTGCTATTATAAAATTGATAAATACAAAATTTGATCTTTAAGAGAAATTTAATTTACATGTTTCTATATACATATAAATAAATATCATATTTGAACTTTAAATTTTTTTTTCACATATATGCAATATATACAACTTAAATAATCATTTAAAAGTAACAATATATTGTAAAGATTTCATTTCAAAGTTAAACAAAAAAAAGAAATCAAATCGGTCAAAGAACAAGAATAAAATAACAAAATATATAAATAAAAAAAGTCACTAATCATAGTAACAAGTTTTTAAAAGTATCACACTATTCTGTTCACTCTTTCACTAATCATGTATCATATTACATTCAAAGTTATTTAAAGAATGGAGTCAAATCTATCTATATAAAATAAGAATAAGGTTAAATCACTTTTCAAAAGAATTTTCCGCCAAAATCATTAATTAGATACTAAAAAGGGTAAGTTATATATATTTTTCCTTAAGTTTTTTCAAATTAAAAAAAAAAACATTAAATGCACTGCCACAATCTCGATTTTTCTTTGTCATACTCGGTTTTTGTTGTAGAAAAAATATGTTCGAATTTTGTGTTGCAAACATTTTGAATCTAACTAAAATCACTGATTTTATGGTAATGATTTTGTTGAGTGTATTTTTTTCTTCATAGAAGATTTTTAACCACCGATTAATAAAATGAAATCTCATTCTAATTATGGACAGTACATATATTTTTTATTTCTTAAAACAAAATTTAAAACTGCAACGAAATTAAACAAGTTATATTCTCAATTTATTTTTATATTTTTTTAAATAAAAATAAGATATAAAAGTGTGATATAAATAACTACAACAGTTCGATCATTTCCATTCAAAACGTAACAAACATTTTTTTTGAATAAATAGCATTCAAATTTTCAAGATACACAATTAACATTCAAGCTTATCATTTACATATTAAAAAAAAATATGATTTTCATATCTTTATTTATCACATGAAAAAATTATACATTATGAATCCAAGCAAGAAAATGATTGTCTTATTCAAAAGAGATATACACAAGATCCATGCAAAATGAATTATAAATATACACAAATTAATTTATTTATGAAATATTTTCTCCTTAAGAAATATGATTTACATGTCATCCGATTCATTTAGTTAGTTTTGAAGTATAAATGATATAATATCGTTGTTATTTTTTTAATGTAACTATTTTTATAAATATTGTTTACAAATGATACCATCGAAATTCCAAATCTCTGTTAAAACATAAAAAAACAAAATGTTATAGATATTGGAATAGATTTGGAATAAAAAATGAGAATGATTGAAAAAAGATATATTATAAATTCGCACTTTAAGGTAATAACTTTTCTTATATTCTATATAAAATTAAATTTCACCTCATAAATCATATCTTTAATATTTGTCACATTATTACATATTTTCACTATAATTTTATTTCGTGGTGTTGGCATTCAAAAAATAGCACATAATTAGAGGAATGAGGTGTTTATCAATTACCAAGTGGATAGAATATCGGTCTACAATTGCCAAGTGCCAAATGATTTTGCATGGAAAAACGATGAAATTTTAATAATGTACGACTTTTTTCTTGACAAACATTTTATGATTAGTTGACAAATCCTCTATGTATCATAACTTTTATATTAATAGCCTTCTATTTATAAATTTTACCAAAATAAAAACAATCCGTGCATCGCACGGGGTACGTACTAGTTACAACAATAAAATGAATCAACATAACACAAAATTTATTGCCAAGTTCATGGTGTACTTTAATAGTAACACGTAAAGGCATTAACTACTATCATTCACACGGCCGTGTGTCATACTTGTTTCTTGCTCATTCACTTGTTCCTATTAATCCAACCATATTATTTCCCAACAAAAAATTGGTCCAATGATGTTTCCAACTTTCCTTAATTTAAATCGAGAGAGACAGACATCAAACTGGTGAACAGACATTATAAGATAGTGAGAGGGCGCTTCTTTTTGGTCCCCGGGAAAGCAATGGCTGCAGCATGCGGCGGACCCTTGGACTCCCAGTGCCGCAGCTTCCCCTGCCAGCTGCAGTCCTGGTCGATGCACCTCCTCAGCCGAGGATCCTTGATTGGGAGCCTCCAGTGCCCGTCCGAGTAGTTCCCCTTCTCAGCCTCTCTCCTCTCCCACATCAGCTGCGCCTTCTGCTTCGTCCGCAGCAGGCAATGCTCCCTCAGCCCCTCCTCCATCTCGTCGTGCACTCTCCACCACCGCTCGTGCGCCTCGTCGCTCGCAAACTCCCTCAATATCCCCACGTTCCAGTTGCAGTCGTAGTCCCGGAAGCACGCCCACGGCTTGTTCCCCAGGTAGTGCACCACGTACAGCTCCGGCGGGTCCGCCCCCAAGAGCCGCGCCTTTCTCTGCCGAGCGGGCCCGTCGTCCCCCACCCACAAGTGCTTGAGAAAGTTGACGCGGCGCGGGACCCTGTGCCACCACGTGAAGACCCCGTTGAGGTAGCCCTGGTCCCCGCCGTTGTAGCTCTCGATGTCGGCCATGTGGGCAGTGAGGAGAGAAAAGGTGCAGTTGGAGGGCTGGAGCACCATAACCCCTGAGTTGAAAAGCGGGCCGTCGTTGCCCGTGGCTGAGATCTCAGGCAGCCGGAACAAGAAGTCGATGTTGCGGAGGACTAGGAGGTCCGCGTCGATGAAGATGATCTTGTGGTAGTCGGTGAGCTGCCAGAGGCGGAACTTGCTGTAGTTCCACTCGTTGTAGGACTCGGGCTCCGCGTGAGGATTGCGGATGCGGGCGATGGTGCGCACGAGCCATCCCGCGGAGGATAGGGCGGAACGTTCCGCTGGGGTGATGGAGTCGTCCACGAGGATGACGAGGTCGCGGGTTGAACCGGACGCTCGGATGCTGCGGGCTGCCACGATTGCGCCACACACGTACAGCGATGCTGAGTGGAGGATAGTAGCGTACGCCTCCCTCTGCTGCTGCTTCTCTGGGAACTCGTCTTCTGTTATTTTATTTTATTCAAAAATATTTTAAACCCAACGAGTGTTGTGAACATGTTTTTCTTTGTAATCACTGTACAACTACAGAGTGACATACTTATTGTTCTGAAATGTTTGTGCAAGAAGCCTACAAGTGAGAAGGCCTTTTTATTTATTAACTAAAATAAAAAAGAAAACAAAAAAAAGGCAGCTTGTTGCTTTAAGAAGAATAACAAGAACACAATCCAATTTACCTATGCCGAGAAGCGGAAGCGCGAGCTCACACGACCCGATCGGCAAACGGAGCTTCTCTCTCAACTCGCTCAAATTCGGCCTGTACAGCCACGTGTCACGTCCACTTGCGATGGCATCCTTGCACGAGAACAGGTTAGGTATTGGGAACCACCTCGTCACGAAAAGCACGTGCACTGGGTAAAGACCCTTGCACGAGGCAGCCAGGCTGGCAGCTGCCATCTGCAAGTGGAGCCGAGCGACATCCCTCGACCAGTTTTCCTCGTCGCAGCATGGGAGCTTGACTGCAACTAGATCGGGCCGCCGCTCGGGAAGCTGGGGAGTTGGGAGTGTGGGGCATTTTGGTAATTCTACGTATTGCTCCTCGTCAATCCACTCAGGGTACAAGGACTCCCATGTGAGGTTGGTGTCAGCGTAGTCCAGATGCAGCACGGTGTGGTCTGCATTTGGAATGAGCTGACGCCACTGCCGGATCTCGTCATTGTCAAAATTAAGTAGGCCCACGGCTTTGATTTGGTCACTTCGCAGCAAATGATGTAGAGTTTTCGAAACTTCTTCCCAGTTGGTTTCTAAATCCGATACATAACGAGGGTCTGGGCCGCCCGATATCCACCTGATCACAAAATTTAAAACCCTCTCTCTCTCTCTCTCTCTCTTGGTAAAAATGAGAATTTTGGAAAAGAAGTTTTGAGAATTAAGGAAGACTTACGTGTGGGAAGTTGTGCCGGCCTTTTGACGACAGGAAGTTGGAGAAGAGAAGATAGTGTAAAAAGCAGCAAGCATGAAGAGGATTGAGATAAATTTGAAGGACTGTAACTTCCATTTACTGCTCCTGCCTGCTGTTGCAAATTGAAAAGGACTCCCTATGCTCCTCACTTTGATTCTTTGCAGCTTTCTCTTGTACGCATCGTCTCTGTTAAACATGCAGGAACAGTTATTGCCGAACATTTACATGCTCTGGTTTGGCTAGAAATGAATAAAAATAAGAGGTTTTTTCAGATATGTTTACGCTGAGTCCCAACTCTTCATCGTCCTCATCTTCAGAGTCGTTCCACGTGGTCAAGATGCAATTTTCAAAATATCGTATTGCCTCATCTGAAACGTCCTGGAAAGAAATATTCAACGGGAAATTGCAACCGAACTTACATGGTATGGTGAAGAACGCAAAATATACGTCGGGAGAGAGAGAGAGAGAGAGAGAGAGAGAGAGAGAGAGAGAGAGAGAGAGAGAGAGAGAGAGAGAGAGAGAGAGAGAACCACAGGTAAGAAGAAAACTAGTTTTGATCAAGGATAAAATGGAAAAAGAGTAGTAAAAGAGAGGATGATTAACAATTTTGAGGTGTACTCACAGTATTTATTGTTCATCTTCATCCCACTGATGAAAGGTGGCAACTGTTGTTTGATAAACTAACTTGTCAATACAGCTGAATCAATGTTAAATTTTCCGAAAACGGAATTAAGTGTTGAAGAAGATGATATTGTTTCATTTAATTACAGAATCATAGTTTAAACACGTGATTCATACGAAATAACTGCCAAGATCACCAGTATCATAAATTTTATCTAATTTATTATAAATGTTTGATATTTTCTTCTTGTAAATACATATTCTCCAAATGCTTATTATTAGTGTATTGGTATCACTAAAAATGAGTACACAATCGTGTCCTCATCAATAAAGAGATTTTTTCCCTTGATCCAATTAAAGAGCTACACGAAAATTTGAGACACAATGTGAATCCCACATCGGAATTCTTCATATTATTCCGTTTTCAGTTTCATGGCATTACAATGATGACAATACTCATTAGAAAGACAAAAACCCTCAAACATAATACCACACTACATTTTGAGAGAATAACACAGTTTAATTATCAGATTCCGAGATCTTCTCCTCTTTAGGTGGTGCGAATTGTCTCGTCATCCGAGACCTTGTCCAGGGATCCAACGGTGCCCTCTGCGGTGGCTGTGGGGCCGATGGCTTGGCTTGCCTAAGTTCATTTTCCCTATCTACAAACCTGCCGTGTTGATTTTTTTTTTTTAAATGGAAAATGAACACACAATCGGTGAAAGATAAAAAAGATTTTATGTAGAGAACTTACTCAATATAAGCCATAGGGGCTGCATCACCAACTCGAATTCGGGTGCGAAGCAACCTCGTATATCCACCAGCCCTATCTCTGTAGTAAAAGACGAGTATATAAATGTGAAGCTTATGAGAAATCACACTTCAAACAACAAACAGCAACAAGAGTTTTAATGGGGGATTGAGATTCACTTGTATCGGTATGCCAATTCTGTAAATAACTTGTGGATTACATCATCCCCACGGACAAAGGCGGCAGCCCGTCTAGCAGCACACAGCGTGCCCTGTAGTAATTCGAACGTTTGTCAAGAATTTAAATTTACAAACAAGATGAGCATCAAAAGATTTTTCAAAAATCACTACACAACATCATTCTCTTCATTCTACTAGACATCCTTTTGGAAAGGTTTTTAGTATAATGTGTGAAACTATCTGCTCATGGACAATGTGTTTAGAAACACAAGAAAATTGTTTGCTTCAAACATTCATCATCAACATCATCAACATACTGATAAAGACCAATTTATGAAAGTTTATTCTAGAAGGCTGAAACGGGCTGCGGCTG